AATCGGTATCCCCTACCGATTCTGCAGAATCAACCTCGAAGCACCCGCCTGAAATATCTAAGGACTCGTGTCAACCTCATAGGGCCCTCCCACGAGTCCCACATCGAAAATGAGCGCTAAGAGCATACTAAATGCCCTCTATAAGTATGCCCCTCCCACTACAATACAGGGGTAAGACTTTTCAGCTTGACTTTTATACTTCTATATGGTCAACAGCAAGAGCTCTTAAAACAACAAACTTACTTCAGCATCGGAGGGTCTTAGGCTGGTTCCACACCGGTTCCATAGACCTTACGAGTCTCGACTTCTTTCTATTCAGGATCAGCATCCAAGGACAGGAAGAATCGGCATCCAATATTCAATCGATCTCTCGATCGTCCATCCCATTTGTAAGTTGCACTCATCTCTATCTGTTCAGATTTAGCGCCAACAGATTGGCGCCGTCTGTGGGAATCGCTTATCGATCAACCCATATCTCAAAACAAAGAACTCTGAGACCAAAAAATGAATCCATCTTCGGCCCTCCCTACCGATGGCCCCATCCTCGGCCTCGGTGGCGAGCCAAGTCCAACTCCCTTGCTTCAGACACCTGCTCGACCGACCACCCTGGAGGCTCGCATGGAGACCCTACAGCAGGATATGGCAAGAATGCAGGAGCACAACAATGTTCTCGCCTCCAAACTGGATGACACCCAGAGGCAGCTGCATCAACAACAAACTCTCTCCGCCCAGTTGCAGAACGATCGGGAACCAACCACACAGCTTCGGCAGGAGAAATCGTTTAAAGGAGGATTTGAACTCTTTCTCTGAAAGTACCGTTCCATAACTGTATAGAGAGAGCTAAATAAGAAAAAAAAAATTATTGTGATGCACACACACTTTGATGAAATTGGGTGATGTTAAATTGGTCTTTTATAAAGAGAATTCCCAATTCTACTTAATTAAGGAATTCCCAAAACCCAATTGAATAAAGAGAACTCCCAATTAAATCCCATTTAACTAAGGAAATAGAAGCCCATCTGAAAAAACCCACAAAAAGCCCACGCACAGCAATGACAGCATCAGTTTCCGGTTTTTTATTAAATTTTAAAACCCTGGTCCAAAACGATGTCGTTTTGGCCAGGCTTCGTTAAAAAAAAAGGAGAGCGCGCAGCGCACACCAGCAGCTGCGCAGCGCCTACTCTTTTGCGCATTTCGTCGAACACCTTCTGTGCGTCGCTGGTTTGCAGCAGAGGTGCAACTCCAGCACCTGTAATGGCGATTTCCGGTGACCGGAGGTGCGGGCGCGCCTCCTTGCGCCTGCACAGGTCCGCCATTGGGTGGAAGTAGTGTGTTGTTGATGTCGTGACTGGCGAAGAAGTAGGCGTTGTTCGAGTCGAATGGCCAGATGGACTGAGTCGTGAACTCGGTGGTGCTAGCTGGATCGCATTTGTCTTTGTCGTCGTCCATGAGAATCGACCAGGATCAGTTGATATTGTAATCGACTATGAAAATTGGGCATGAATCTTAAGAGAGATGCCAGAGAGAGAGAGAGAGAGAGAGAGAGAGAGATTAGGGTTTTGGGGTGTTTGGTTGTGCGTGGGAGTGTTGGAAAGGACATGTAGTTTTTGAATTTTTTGAAGGAAGGGGAGGGCCTTCAAAACTTTTAGTCTCATCAAGGTTGAGGGCTGTGGTTTTTACTTAGGGAGGGGCCTGGGTTTTGGGTCTGTGAGAGAGGAAGAGAGAGGAGCAGGCAGTGGTGGTTGTGGTGATGGCGACTGGGAAGGGATAATGGGGTTGGAGGAAGGGAATTAGGGATTTTTTGGTTTTAAAGTATTATTTTTATTTTTAATAGTTAAATTAAGTTTTTTAAAAGAGATTTTTAAATTTTTTTAATTTTTTTTTCACACATGGCACTTAGTTTAGTAAAATAATGGGTCCTATTGGTGCCTCGTCAACATTTTTAACAGAATTTTTAACAGACTTGACGGTAAGGGGCAAAGTGGGGTCACTCTAACTTTAAGGGGGTTAAGTGGGAATTAACCAATATTTCAGGGGGCACTGTAGCACTTAAGCCATTAATTTATACTCCGCAGGGAAGGGTGGTACTGGCTGAAGCTTGGGTCAGTAGACCCCAACCTCCCTAGTGTTCATTATGTCCTGTGATGGCCTCACTTGTCCTCCGCAAGGAGTGGTGTACTAGTTGAGCAGTGTAGGATTTGCTTTGTGATAGGTTTTGTTACTAATCTTGTTGTTCTGTGTTTAGGAGTTTCTCTGTGTATTGTTATCTTTTCTTTATGGACTGCTGTCAATGGTTGTAGCTTGTGGTTGGGTGACTACGAGTAATATAGTGTAGCACATGAGTATGTCTAAGTGGTATAATTCGTCCATATGTAAGTGGATATATTTTTTTTTTTCCGTTGCTTTTCTTAGCCAAAGTTAGTAAGGGGGAGAGGAGTTTTGTCACACACACTGCCATGGTGTTATTGGAATTTGAACATGAGACTATTGGTCTACAAGTTAAGGTTATTTTCCACTAGATTAGACTTCGTTGGCAAGTAGATATTTATTAGAATATAGAGTCAAGGAGAAGGGTACGGTAAAACTGGATTTCGTGCTTTTATAAAAATTGCTTATGGAATCAAATAAGGGTTTAGGTCAATTGGCCAAGACAATGTCTTCTCCTTTTGCACTGAGTTCGAACCTCCTATACTAATAGCTTTTTTATTTTAGGCTTTTTATTACAAATAGTCTTTGAGGTTTACGAAATTATCACATTTCATCCCTAACTTTTTTTGTGACACTAATGGTCCTTAAGGTTACCCTTCTCCACACATCAAAATGGTTCCTGCCGTTAGCTTCAGTCAAATTTTCTGTTAAATTGCGGCCGTGGCACATGTATGAGCCCACACATCCAATGGTATAGAGCCACGTAATTTTTAATATAATATAATATTTTTAAAACTTAAAATTCATAAAAAAATAAAAAAATTAAAAACAACTTAAATCTTTTTAATATCTCTCTC